CTCCACCGAAGGACCCAGTGCCCGCGGCCGCATGCGTCCCCCACACCATTTCGGCACACCCCTCACACGTTTCGTGGCTCCATAGGGAGCTCCACCGAAGGCCCCAGTGCCCGCGGCCGCATGCGTCCCCCACACCAATTTCGGCACACCCCTCACACGTTTCGTGGCTCCATAGGGAGCTCCACCGAAGGCCCCAGTGCCCGCGGCCGCATGCGTCCCCCACACCCATTTCGGCACACCCCTCACACGTTTCGTGGCTCCATAGGGAGCTCCACCGAAGGCCTCAGTGCCGCCGCCCGCATGCGTCACCCCCACCCATTTCGGCACACCCCCCGCATTTCTCGCACGGCAGGGTCATCACCACGGTGGCGTGCCAGGGGCGCACCATGCGCGAAGGCGACGGGGCGGGGGAACGGCGCTCCGGGGGCGGCCAGACCTCCGGGGCGCGAGCAGTCCGCGGCCAGACCATCTCTCGGTCCTGTGGACTCTCGCCCTGGGCCGTCGGCTGCCCGGCGCGCTGCTCCCTCGGTCGACGTCGCCCAGGCGTGATCCTGGATTGCGGCCGCCACGAGGTAGGGAACGGCAAGAAGGAGGACGACGACTGGTGGCTGGAGCTCTACGTGCTGCTCTCGCGCGCCACGCGCCACGAGGACCTCCTGCTCATGCGGGCGCCGCGCATCGAGTTCTTCCTGGCAGGGCCGCCGCAGGGCTTGCGGAAGCAGCTGGAGCAGTTTGCGGCGCGCACGAAGCGGTGCAGGAGGGAAGCGACGGCCCTCGCCAGGGAGCTCGGCTTCACCGAGTTCATCCGCGAGGCCTGACCTGAGGAGCGTCTCCCCCGAGCCGCGCCTTCTCTCGACTGCCCGACTAATTGTTTGGCCTCGCGCCGCGGACGACCCGCGCGCGTCGCTGGGACCCTCTCGGGGCGACCAGCGCGCGTCGCGGGAACTCCGTGCTGCGGGGGGCCCGGCGCCTCGTTCGCCCGTCGTCGCTCTGCCCAGCGGTCAGAGACTTGCCCGCTATCAGCCAGCCAGTTAGCTAGTCAGCTCTCTCTGCTTCGCGCAGCGGACGACCCGCGCGCGTCGCTGGGACCCCGCCCGGGGCGACCAGCGCGCGTCGCGGGGACTCCGCGCTGCGCTGCGCCCGCAGCCTTGGATTTTGGAGTGCGCGGGCAAAGAGGAAGGAAAAGAAGAGCCGAAAGCGGGCGCGATCCTCGCAAGAGGCGTGCCGACATGGGCGTCGCGACGTGCGGACGCTGCCGTCGGGGTTCCCGCGGAAGCTGCCTGCGGCGGCCACGCCCAGTGTCACGTGTGTTCGGACAGGCATGCTCGACACTTACACTAGGCGTTTCCATGATCGCATTCATGCAAATATATTCACTCGCGCGCAGACCCATTCATACTCAGATTCCCTCGCGCTCTGACTCACCCGCGTTCTTTCTCTCGTAATCAGATCTATCGTATTCCTTTGCGTTGTGTACCCCGCCACATTTCGGCACACCCCTCATGCGGTTCGTGGCCCCATAGGGAGCGCCACCGAAGAAGATACTCACAATTGCGATACTCACAACTGCATATGGTTGGGTCTTTCGCCAGGATAATTTTTGGTGTGTTTCGATGTTTTCAGCGGCAGCATTGGCTCATGGCGGGACATGCTTATGCGCGTTATGTTTGTTGTCACTCGCTGCCGCTATTTTTGTTTTCGGCCCGAGCCCGCAAGGCCGCGCGCGCGGGCCATGGAATCCTGTTGTGATTTGTTGGATGGCCCTCGTAGTCTCCCTGCCATGAGGTACTGGTTGACTAGCAGACGTATGATGCCGGATTGAGATTGCAGCAGTGGCCCGAATATGTGATTCCTCGTTTGTGTCGATGGCCGGAGTGTATTGTTTTTGTCGCTGGCTCGCTCAATCTTCCATTTTACCCAGTCGCCGATCATTGTGTCTGTCTGTCTTGATTTCAGCCCTCCTTGATTCCTGCTTCCTGGTAGATCTGCGAAGATTCGACCTACTTCTCGGAGGTTCTCGTAGGCTTTTGTCGGGCCGGACGAAGGGGGGGGATAGGGAAAGGGGGGGGTACGAAATTTGCTGCATGCAGCTGGTTTCTGCCCCGCCGAAACGCCCATTCTTCGCTACATGGCCGCCTCCGGCGCCGGGAGGCGCCGGGAAAATCAGCTACGTGAGTTAATTCTCAAACCCCCCCTTTGCTATCCCCCCCTTTTTGCCCGGCCCGATTTTGGGACCCGGTGCGGTTTCCAGCAGCTGCGCCTCGTCGAGAGCGTTCCGGGGGCTCTGGAAAATCGTCCCGGACGGCCGCCAGAGGCCTGCAGCAAGGCCCCACAGACAAAATGTGGATGGACCCACCACTCCTCCTCCTCCTCCTCCTCCTCCTCCTCCTCCTACTCCTCCTCCTCCTCCTCCTCCTCCTCCTCCTCCTCCTCCTCCTCCTCCTCGTCCTCGTCCTCGTCCTCGTCCTCGTCCTCCTCCTTCTCCTCCTCCTCTTCCTCCTCCTCGTCCTCGTCCTCCTCCTCCTTTTCCTCCTCCTCCTCCTCCTCGTCCTCCTCCCTCCTCTCCTCCTCGTCCTCGCCTCCTCCTCCTCCTTTTCCTCCTCCTCCTCCTCCTCCCCCTCTCCTCCCTCCCTGTCGTCGTCTCCCCTCCTCCCCTCCTCCCTCCTCCTCTTCCCTGTCTCGTCGTCCTCCTCCTCCTCCTCCTCCTCCTCCTCCTCCTCCCTCCCTCCTCCTCCTCCTCCTCCCCCTCCCCTCCCCATCCTCCCCCTCCTCCTCCGAGAGAAAGGAAAGTGGTCCTGAGGGGCACGGGTCCTGAGGCTTGCCGCCGCTTTCGGGTTCCGGGGGTCCTCCCTGGGTCCCGGGACCGTCAGAGAACGACCCATGACGAAGCAAATTGGCCCTGAGGGAAAGCCCCGGGCTGAAGGACCCGTTCCCACCAGGATCCGCTTGTTTCGTGCCAGTGGCAGCTTTTGGCCACCAGCGCGGGATTTGGGAAGGAGAGAGTACCAATGGCGCGCCGCCGTTGGGAGCTCTGCTTATTGCGCCCGCGCTTTCGTCCGAGGGACTGATGTTTCTATGTGTTTCTTCGGCGGGTACACGCTGATGATCGCTGATGGGTTCCCCACCAGGGCTGGACCTGAACGGTATTTTTCGTGATTTCGTGGGCCGTTTTCGTTTCGACTTCGTCTTGCGGTAGAGGCGGATCCGAGGCAAACGCGAGGGAGAACGAAAACAAAACGAAAACGAAAAACGCCGTGAGGTTCAGCCCCTGTTGGGGGGCCACATGCGAACCCTACCCCTACCCCCCACGATTTCGGAGGGGGAGGGCGGGGTTCACTCCGTTCGGGAGCTCCCAAGCGAAGTGAACCCCACCCTCCCCCTCCGAAATCGTGGGGGGTGGGGGTAGGGTTCGCATGTGGCCCCCTACCTGCTCCCCACGGCGACGTGCCACTGAGATGCTGTTTTTGGCTCCCCCCGAGGGATGCCGCGGCCGGCCCCTCCGTGGCGACGCGGCGGCCGCCCCGCCGCGGGCGTTCGAGGTTGGACGCCGCCAGTGGCCCAGGATCGGCCGATCTCCAGAGGAGCAACAGGTTCCCATACAGGTTCCCATGCCCCATACAGTGGGGGCGCGCATCAAGAAACCAGGTGCTTTTCGTCAGGGTATCCTGGATTTCTTCGCTCCTCGCGCTGTGCGGTGACTTCCCGCAGCCGTTGAAGGAGCTGCTGCGTTCAGGGTGCCCTGGGCTTCCCCTCGGGTGCACCCCGCGCGTGGGTTTTCAAGGTTCGGTTTCTTGCGAGGGTTTCTTGCGGCCGCGCCCGCACTGTACCCCATACCTCTACCTTCCCTTCCTTTTTTCATTTTGTCGGCCTCCTGGGAGGCCCTCGTCGCAATCGCTGGATTCGCTTCGAGATTCTGGTCAGAACGCACCCAGGAGAGGCCCGGGGAGAAGCGGTATCCATGCTTTTTGTTTTTCTCAAATGTGGAGCGACATGGTGCGATCGAAAAGCCGCCAGTTGTCCAAGGGTGATCAATCCGCTTGGTTTCAGAAACCAACGCCCGGGTCGTCAACGACACGAACCTGCCGTAATCTTCTCTCAGCGTTGCCTTCACGATCAGTGCTGCCTGGACAACGGAGACCGCTTTCCATTCCTGGGAGATAGCGGTCGTTACCAGGAGGGAGGAGGGGGGGGGACGGGTGACGTCACGTTTCGCGTCGGCACCGTCCGGGAATGTGTAGGAATAGCCGGAGACAGTTCGGAGGTCAGCACGAATCGTGACGTTATTTGGGGGGAGGGGAGGGGGGCGGCCGGGGCCTGCAACGCAAGTTATCGCGAAGAAATAAATAAAGCCGCCATGAGATATTATTCAGAGCGTCTTGATAAAAAGCAGCGATGTTTTCTGGATGCGTCTAGCATTTGCTGGGTTCGCCGCGAGGCAGGGCGAAGGTGAGCTTTCCCAGCTGGGTCTCCGCATTTCAAGGCGTAATGGTTGCTACAGGTATCTTTACTGACTGAAGAGACCTGCGTGGAGGCGGCCTTTGCGGTCAAGCCGAGCTCAAACAACAAGACAAGCATGTGTGATGTGTCCGCTTCTTGTATTAGGCAGGCCTAGGAGCGGGATAAATCGTTCCAGAGCGTTCCGGAACACCCTCAGAGCGTTCCGGAATGTTTTGGAACGGCTGCGGCGCTTAATGCATCCTCCAGAACCGCCAGATCTCAGAAATCCCCGAATCATCCTGATCCGATTTTGTCCTGATCTTCTTGTCTTCGTCTTTCGTCTTATTGTGATGACTATCAGTATCACCAGCATCGGCAGCAATATGCCTCATGCCTTCACCGCTGCGTTCGTGTTTGTGTTCGGATGTGTTCGGTGCGTCAATCACTCGAGTTGGCGCTTGCTTGATGACACCCTCCCTGGATGGTGTTGCCGCCGTGACAAGCCGTCCACAATGTCTGTGAACTCCCGAAGAGGGGTGTGCCAGCCAAAAAAGCGCCGCGAGGCCGTCCTCTCCTGCGTCGGCGCGGCCGGAGGAGGCCTCCGACAAGTCCTTCTGGTTTCCGCAGCCCGGCATCGAGCCGGTCCCCGAGGATCGGGAGCCTTCCGCCGCCTCCCGCCCGGTGCTCCTCCGCCTCCTCGCCCGCCGTCTGCTCGCCCTCTGTCTCCTTCATCATTTTCTTCTCCCTGCTCCCATCTCCCTCCTCCTCCTCCTCCTCCTCCTCCTCCTCCTCCTCCTCCTCCATCTCCCTCCTCCTCCTATTCCTACTCCTACTCTTATGATGCTCCAACCTACTTTAGCCCTGATCACCAGAAAGAATTTCGAGCGCCAAAAAAGTACCGAAACTCAAGGGTTTTCACATGTTTTCACGTGTCGGGCCCTGGGAGACACTCGCCCGACACTGTTTCGACACTGTTTCGACACTCTTTTGTCACTTTTCCGGGTGCTCGAAATTATTTCTGGGATGTGGTCCCTAAGTAGGATGGGAACAACATGATCCTACTCCTACTCCTCCTCCCCCTCCTCCTCCTCCTCCTCCTCCTCCTCGTCCTCCTCTTTTTTCCTTTTGTTTCTCTGCATCCTGCTCATCCCTCCGCCCTCCTTCCAGCTGTCCTGGTCCTATCGTCGAGGAGTACCACTCACCGTCCACATTCTCCGTATCTCCGTCGCCGCTCTCCAGCCCTGAACTCATCCGCTTGCTTCTAGCTCTCAACCTCCCTCCTCCCTGCCTCCCTACTCCTCGCTCTCTCCTCCTCCTCCTTTGTCCCCTCCCCCCTTTCTCCTCCTCCTCCCTCTCCTCCTCATCACTTCCATCCTCCTGCTCCACGTCCTCCTCATCCCTCTCCTCCTCATCCCTCTCCTCCTCCTCCTCCTCCTCCTCCTCCTCTTCCTCCTCCTCCTCCTCCTTTTCGGCCTCCCTCCTCCTCCTCCTCTTCCTCCTCCTCTTCCTCCTCCTCCTACTCCTCCTCCTCTTGTGCCTGGCTCTGCTCATGCTGGTTACCCTCCTACTCCAGCTGCCCCTTTTCTCATTTTGTCCTTGGCAGATACCCCTGACATCTCTTTCAAGAAGCTACTTGATTCTAAACGTGTACATTAAAGATGACTGCATGTATGCATGCATGCATGCATGTTGGCACGTATGTATATATGTATGTAGTATGCATGTGTGCATGTATGGTTGTTGAATGCACGCATGTTTGCATGTATGCATGCATGATTGCATGTTTGGGTGTATGTATATTTGTATGTACGTACGTATGTATGTGTATATGCATGCATGTATGCATGCATGTATGTATGTATGCAGGCGTGTGTATGTATGCATATATGCAGGTGTGTGTATATATATATATGTATGTCTGTGGGTGTGCGTATTCATGTGTGTACGTCTACGGGTATGTATGTATTTATGTATGCATGCATGCATGTATGCATGTATGTATGCAGGTAGGTAGGTAGGTAGGTAGGTAGGTAGATGTATGTATGCATGTATGTGTGTGTATGCATATATGTATGTGCATATGTATGTAATGTATGACCGTGTGTATGTGTATGTCTGTATGTAGGTATGTAGATAGGTAGGTAGGTGTGCGTGTGCATGTGTGCATGTATATATGCATGCATGCATGTATGTAGTTGCGTATGCATGCATGTATGAATATCTATATGTATATATAGATGTCCCAACTACTCCAACATATTTGCAGGCCGAAGTGGCTATGGGGAGCATATCCTGGTCTTCTGCGGCCTGGGGAGAAGAGTCTGCTTGATCAAGCTCATGTCCTTCGGCTTTATCGGGTTGCAACCGTCTTGTAATGTTTGAGAAGCTGCACTTCCTTGGTTATAGGAACCGCAACGGTTGCAACAAAGCATACATGAGAAGCGTAGTCAACGATTCTGGGAACAAACCAAACATGCTGACGATTTCTGGGGCGCGTCATGAGGTTTGCATGCATGGTCTTAGGGCTCCACAGGGACCCACAGCTTTTTCAGGGTCCCAGGGGCACATCGCACATTCCAGGCGACGCCAACGGACCTCATCCTAGCGGAGAGCGCGGCCCCGAGAGGAGGGAGGCGTGACGCGGAGCTCTTGTGATCCAGGGGGGCCGTGCAATTCCCAGGCAAATGCCAAGCTTGTCAGAGAATTGCCGTCGCCAGGGCAGCAGACATGGGCTTGGAGTGCAGCGACGTGACGCGCTCCTCGTCGCCACGAAACAGAAGCGATTCGCACCGAAATTGGAGAGCCTATCGGTCCAATACTTCCCCTGAGTGAGTAACATGTTGCTGGGATCGCCCTCCAGAGACCTAGTAGCCTTGACATTAGAACACCTCGAACGGCGCCTGGACATCATGCTTGAGGATCCTCCAACAGTCACCAATGGAGACTGTACTCCAGTTACTCCTACTCGTCGTCATCATCCTCGCCCGCATCCTGCTCCTCTTCGGATCTGCCTGCCCATTATCCTCCGTCCTCTAATCATCTGCCTCCTCCTCCTCCTTCCTTCTTCCTCCTCCCTCCTCCCTCCTTCCTCCTTCCTCCTCCTCTTCCTGCGTCCTGCCTCCTCCTCCTCATCCTCCTCGTCATCACCGTCATCACCATCATCATCATCATCATCATCATCATCATCATCAGCATCAGCATCAGCATCAGCATCAGCATCAGCATCAGCATCATCATCATGGTCAGGATGGCATCGTTTGTGAAGCTCTTCGTGCTGTTCGCCGGCCCCTCCGTACCCTCATCCTGCGGACGTGGGTGCACGCATGGTTTACGACTTGCAGGATGCACGAGCCCGTCCGGCATGCCTGCTGTATTTGCGGCCACCAACATGCTGACCAAAAGCACTATTTCGAGTGCGACGGTTTCTGGGGCCTGTTCGCACCGTGGCCGGGTTCGACTCCGGCTTCGACCCGTGAGCGGTTGGGCCTGTGCTCCAACGTTGGCCTCTCCCGCGTCGCCACCGTCCACAAGCTCTTCCACCTCACGAAAGAGCACTTCGTGAGGGGTGGCCGCCACCAGGCGGTGCTGCACAGCGCCGTCCGCGCCGCGCGCCGCGCGCGGCAAGAGCTGTGCTTTTAGTTTAGTTATTTGGATTGGCTGCGCCAGCGGATCCGTGATGATGATCATCATCATCATCAGCATCATCATCATCACCATCATCATCATCATCATCATCCTTATCCTCATCCTCATCCTCATCCTCATTCTCATCATCCTCATCATCCTCATCATCCTCATCATCATCATCATCATCATCGTCGTCGTCGTCGTCGTCATCGTCATCGTCATCGTCATCATTATCATCCTGATCGTCATCATCACCGTCGTCATCAACATCATCATCATCGGTCGTGCATTCGTTCAGACCATTAATATTAGTCGAGCTATTCCCCAGGCCCCTGTCAATGGCCACCACTCTCAACGTCAGCATACTCATCACCATCATCATGATCATCATCATCAGCAGCAGCAAAAACCAGCAGCAGCATGATCAGATCATCATCATCATCACCACCATCATCATCATCATCATCATCATCATCATCATCATCATCATCATCATCGTCATCGTCATCATCATGATTACCATCAACAGCACTATCAACATCACCATTATCATCCTCTTTAGCATCACCATCACCATCACCAGGATTATCATCATCATCAACGCCATCAAGCGCCCGATCCGAACTCGGTCCCGATCAACGTGATCGTCATCATCATCATCACCACCATCGCCATGGATCACTATCAGTCTCATCATCATCCGTATTTTTATTGCCATCATCACCATCGTCATCATCATTATCATCAGCATCATCATCATAGTCAACAGCAGAATCATCATCCTCACCACCATCACCAACTTCATCATCTTTACCATATTCACCATCTTCAGCTTCTCCACCATCATCATCATCATCATCATCAGCATCAGCATCATCCTCAGTCTCCTCATCATCATGCTCATCTGTACCACCACCACAACCATCACCATCATCATGGTCATCCGCATCATCATTATCGTCATCATCACCAGCATCATTCTCACCTTTACCATCTTATCGATCACTAACATCCATGTCAACAGCTTCATCACCATTATCGTCATCATCAGCACCGTCAGCATCATCATCACCATCATTTTCTTGACCATCATCATCCTCATATTCGTCATCATCACCACCATCATCATCAATATCCGCATCATCATCCTCATCCTCATCTTTATCACCATCATCCGCATAGTCATCATCATCAGCAGCAGCACCACGGCCATCATCATCATCATCCTCATCAGCAGCAGCAGCACCACCATCACCATAACAATAATCATCATCATGAACATCATCATCGCCATCGTCATCCCCATCACCATCACAAGCACAACCATCACCAGCATCATTACCATCATCATCATCCTGCTCATCATCATTACCATCATCATTATCATTGTCATCATCATCATCATAATCATCATCATCATCATCATCATCATCATCATCATCATCATCATTAGCATCATTGCCAGCATCATAATCATCACCATCCTCCTCATCAACATAATCGCCATCATCATCAGCAGCATCATCACCATCATCAGCATCATCAGTACCATCAGCATCACCACCATTAACATCATCAGCACCATGATCATTATCAGTATCTACCATCATCATCATTATCACCATCATCATCTCAAGCATCATATTCATAATCCTCATCATCGTCATCATCATCATCATCATCATCATCATCATCATCATCATCATCATCATCATCATCATCATCATCATCATCATCCGCCTCCTCCCTCTCCGCCTCCTCCTCGTCCTCAGCCCCCCACCCTCCTCCTACTTTCTCCTCCGCAGCTCGCAGCTAGGGTCCCCTCCCCCCTCCCCCCCACCCCACGCGCGAACCCTAGGTGCCCCTTCCCCTGGGCCGGAGGTGAAGGGGAAGGAAAGGGGAGGAGGAGGAGGAGGAGGAGGAGGAGGAGGAGGAGGAGGAGGAGGAGGAGGAGGAAGAGGACCCATGTATGCGAGGTATAGGCCCTGGCCGGCGCACCCCTTCCTCCTTGGGGGTGGCTCGCCGCTGAGCGGTAGGTCGCAACTGAGGTGGGGGGTTGCGCCGGCTCCCGACTGAAGTACGCCGGCGGCAAAGGGACCCGCACGGCGCTCGGAGGAGGAGGAGGAGGGAGGAGGGAGGAGGGAGGAGGGGAGGAGGAGAGGAGGGAGGGGGAGGGGGAGCGGGAGCGAGGGGAGCGAGGGGCGGGAGCGAGGAGGATGAGGAGGAGGAGGAGGAGGAGGAGGAGGAGGAGGAGGAGGAGGAGGAGGGGAGGAGGAGGAGGCGGAGGCGGAGGCGGAGGCGGAGGCGGAGGCGGAGGCGGAGGCGGGAGGCGGAGGCGGAGGAGGAGGAGGAGGAGGAGGAGGAGGAGGAGGAGGAGGAGGAGGAGGAGGAGGAGGAGGGAGGATGAGGAGGGAGGGGGAGGAGGGAGGAGGGAGGGAAGGGAGGAGGGAGGGAGGAGGAGGAGGAGGAGGGAGGAGGAGGACCCGGCCAGGGGTTTCCCCCACCCACCACCACTCCCCCCACACCCCACCCCACCCTGGACCGCGCGAGCACTTCGACGACCTGTTCAGGTCGGCCAGGCGCCCGCGCCGCGAAGCCCCGGTGTTTGCTCCCATTCCCCCTTCTTCCCTCCCTTCGTTGCACTCCTCCGACAGGAGTCGGCCCCCGAAGGGGAGAGCGACTCCTCCGGGGCCAGCTGCGCCGCCTACGGCTGCGCGGGGTACGACTCCGCGAAGGACTGCCAGTGCAACGCTGCCTGCAAGGACGCCGCAGTCGCGCAGCCGCACGCAGAATCGGGTCAGCGTCGTCGTTTCTACCCCCGCCAGGCCAGGGCCGACAGGGCACCCTCAGCGCCACCAGCCTACGGTAGGCTCGTTTCGTGGTGACGCGGCGACGACCCCGCGGCGGGCGTTCAAGGTTGAACGCCGCCACTGGCCCAGAATCGGTCGATACGGAACGGTCTGGCGGCTGGAGAGCCGCCGATCGTTCAAGGTCGAACGATCCACGCGGTGTCAGAAACCGACGCCTGGGTTGATGGGCCCATGTTTTCCACCACCACTACCATATGGAGGAGGAGGAGGAGGAGGAGGAGGAGGAAGAGGAGGAGGAGGAGGAGGGGGTGTAGGAAGATGAGGAGGAGCAGGAGGAGGAGGAGGACCTCATCCTCTCTTCTCCCCCGTCCTGCATATGGTAGTGGTGGTGGAAAATTTGCCCATCATGGATCGTCGCGGCACGAACCCGCCGTGGCCCTCAGGTGGGGGCGGATGCCGCGAGAAAGCGGAAGGAGGCAGCACACATCCCCGCCTTGGGGCGGGGTCGGTCAATGTCGGCCAGCGGGGCCACGGCTTTCCCGGTGAAGGCGAGGACAGATCGGACGACAACAGACAGACAGGCAGGCAGGCAGGCAGACAGACAGACAGACAGACAGAGACAGACAGACAGACCGACAGACAGAGACAGACAGATGACGATGACGACAGACGCCGACGACGGACAAATGACGACGCCGACAACGACAGACGACGACGGACAGGCGAACGACGACGTCGACGACGACGGGCAGACGATGTTGACGACGACGGACAGACGACGACGACGCTGACGCTGACGGTGACGAGGAACACGATAGACGACAGACGACAGACGACAACGACGGACAGACGACGACGGACAGGCGACGGCAACGACGACGGAATTGGCGCTGACGACGACGACGGAGACGACGCGATGGCGACGGCGACGACGCTGACGACGACGACGACGACGACGAAGACGACGAAGACGACGACGACGACGACGACGACGGCGGCGGCGGCGGCGAAAGCGGCGACGACGGCAACGACTACGACGACTACGACGACGACCCCGAAGCCGACGACGACGCCGACGACGACGACGACGATGACGACGACGACGACGACGACGACGACGACGACGACGACGACGACGACGGCGACGGCGACGGCGACGGCGACGGCGACGGCGACGGCGACGGCGACGGCGACGGCGACGGCGGGGCGTGGGGGATCCACGGCTTTGGCCACCTCTTGAAGGGGGGGCGGGGGCGTAGTCACGAGGGCAGATCTGACGATGCTGACTGGGGGAGCAGGGGCGTGGGGGATCGACGGCTTCGGCCCTCTCTTGGAGGGGGGGGGGGGCGACGCCACGAGGGGGAGGTGGCGGAGCATGCCTCCGGGGGGGGAGTGAGGGGGATCTCAAGGACGCGGAGACGTGGATCAAGGTGCGTGGATCAGCGACGGGTCCCGATTCCATGCAGAGTCAGCGCCCTCTGCCGCCATATCCGGCGGCATGGGCCTCATGTTTTCGGGGGATGCCGCCCGCGATCCGTGGATCCGGCGCCCACGCGAGATCCACGGATCCATAATCTGGATCACCCGCGGGGGCGCGAAGATAACCGCGCCTCGCACGTCGCGGCCTGGACCAGAGCGGTCCCCCTTGGACCTCTGGAGTCGCCTAGCGGCGCTGGGAGGTCCCCCAGGACGCCTTCGCAATGCCCCTACTCCATCTCCTTCGGATCCTCCTCCTGGTCCTCCTCCTCCTCCTCCTCCTCCTCCTCCTCCTCCTCCTCCTCCTCCTCCTCCTCCTCTTCCTGGTCCTCCCTCTCTTGGTCCTCCTCCTTCTCCTCCTGGTTCTTCTCCTCATCTTCCTCCTCTTCCTCCTCCTGGTCCTCCTCCTCCTCCTCCGCCTCCTCCTCCTCCTCCTCGTCCTCCTTCTCTGGGGGTCCGGCAGCGGCGGGGCAGATCTTCGAAGAAGAGTTGTTTGGCCGCCTGGCTGCCCAGGGGAGAAGATTTTCCCCAGGGGGGTCACGACGGTCGAACCCGGCAGGTGCATTGTTCCGCTTGTGTTCGGCCAGACCGGGTCCGTCTTCGCTGTGGCCACCGTGGCCCTAGCGTGGTCACAAATTGGGGGGGAGGGTGGATCGGTCGTCCCTGCTCGAGGAGCAAAAAACGGCATAAGCATAAGCGGGAGGCGCCGCCAGGGGGCTCCAGCACTGATCAGAGAAGTCCGCGCGGAGCGCAGGAAGTTTATGTCTATGCCGTTGTTAGCTCTTCTGTTGGCTGCTGTTTCTCCAGGTGCTTGGAAAGCTGTTGGATGTTCCTGGGCCTCCTCCTCCTCCTCCTCCTCCTCCTGGGCCTTGGGATATCCCCCCCTTCCTTCTTGCTGGGGTGGCGGCGGCAGCGCGGGTGCGGGCGGGCGCTCCTGGGGACCAGTCCCGATCGTCCTGCAGACTGGCCCCCTCAT